ATACTCTTTCATTTGATTTATCTCTTCATCTATCTCAATTAATTCTCATACACAATACTCATATTCTCAAAAACCAATGGGAGTTAAAAAGATCAAACATAATTTTTTTTTTTGAACAACAAAGAAAACTAAAATAAGAAAATAAAAATTCTCCGAATACCCCCACACTTAAAACACAACATTGTCCTCAATGTTGAAATAAAAGCAAAGGAACATAAGAGAATGGTAGAAAATAAATTAAAATACAAAAAAGTAAAAGATAAGGAAAAAGAAAGCAAATCTCATATATATTTTTTTTTTGTGCTGGGTGGCCTCCCAGTAAGCGCTTTTGTTTTATGTCATTGGCTTGACATGTGGCATGCTCATTCTTCATAGATTGGTTCAGCTAACTCTACAAAAGCGGTGAGTTCTACCGTCCAACCTTCATAGAAAGGTTTCAAACGATGTCCATTGACCTTGAGTACTTTGCTGGTTTCTAAACTTGTAATTTCAACTGCACCATAAGGAAAAATATTAGAAACAAAAAAGGGTCCAATCCAACGAGAGCACAATTTTTTAGGAAAAAGTTTCAAACGTGAATGATAAAAAAGGACTTTGTTTCCAACATGAAATTCCTTTCTTGTAAGCATTCGGTCATGAAGATTCTTAGTCTTTTCTTTGTAAATCCTTGCATTCTCATAAGCTTCATTTTGTTTTTCTCTCAACGTGGTGGCATTCCTTTTAGGTACCAAAAGGATAGACGCCACCCATTCACTGTCCGTGATGGGGGGAATGACTCCTGCATCATGAAGGATAATTTGTGAAGCTTGTAAAGCCAATGCTGATTCATGCACATTTTGGGGAACACATATATGCCTCTCTATCTCTTCTATCTTGGTAAAATCATAGTCATAGCTTAAAGCTATGCTTAATCCATCTTCGCTATCAAAATCACAAACCTGTTGCATACACTTATCAACTTGGTCATAACATATGATAGAATAAACATTGTTATAAGGATATGTCATTGCATCATGAAAATTGAATTCAATTTTTTCATCTCCTACCTCCATAGACAAGGTATCCTTACCACAATCAATCTTTGTGTTGGCAGTTTTCAAGAATGGTCTCCCAAACAATATAGGAGTGCTAGTTGATAAATCACAAGAATCATGTTCCATATCAAGAATATAAAAATCACATGGAATAACCAAATTATCAATCTTGACTAGGACATCCTCTATCACACCAAGTGGGTAAACCAAACTACGATCCGCAAGCTGTATTACAATGCTAGTTTTATGTAAAGGCTCAAGACTAAGAGAATCATAAACATGTTTAGGCATAACACTAATGGATGCACCTAAATCACATAAGGCTTTTTTAAAACTAGCATTACCAATAACACATGGGATAGTAAACGCATCTGGGTCCTTTAGCTTTAAAGGCATATTCTTTTGAACAACAGCAGACACAACTTCACCCATACTTACCATTTCATGACCTTTCAGTTTGAAAGCTCTCTTGGTAGTACACAACTCCTTCAAAAATTTGGCATACTTGGGAATTTGCTTGATAGCATCAAGCAAAGGAATGTTGAGTTCTACTTTCTTGAAAACCTCTAAAATATCTTTTTCTTTGTCCTCTTTCTTTGACCTAGAAGAACTAACAGGAAAGGGTGGAATTGCTTTAGAACTGGAATTTATTGAGTGAGGAGTTACCTTTGGAGTGTTGGTCAATGTTTTAGTTTGTGGAGAAAGATGTTTCTTCTTTGTATTCAATTCAGTTTCTATCTCTTCTTCTTTCTCCATCTCAATCTCTTTCAACCTTTTCTCTTCAAGTTCTGTCCCACTTCGCAACATGATCGCACTAACATTTTTTTTTGGATTCAATGCTTGGGAGGGCAATTTTCCATTCATTTGTGCCTCCAATTTCCTTACACTTGAAGCTACTTGCCCCATTTGCTTCTCCAAGTTGTGAATACTTGACCTTGTTTCCTGTTGAAAAGACATGACATTTTGTTGCAAGGTAACAGTATTAGAAGCCAAAGTTTTCATCATCTCACGAAGATCATCATTGGATGACGACCCCATAACATTGGAGTTTGTGAATTGAGGAGGTTGTCTTGCTTGATAATTTTGTTGGGGCTGAAATCCATTGGGATGGAATTGTCGGCCTTGATTGCCTTGTTGGGATGGGTTGCCATAGCGTAAGTTGGGATGATCTCTCCATCCGGGATTGTACGTGTTGGAAAAGGGATCATATTTACGCTGGGGTTGTCCGTTGAATGCTCCATCAATTGCATGAGCTTGTTCAATATAATCTTCTTGCATTGTTGGGCACATATCCGAAGCATGTCCTTGTAAGGAGCATATGCTACAAACTTTCACCTGCTGCACATTTCCACAAGCCAAAGAACGCACAAGAGAAGTAAGATCATTAACTTTATTCTCAATGTTAGAAATACTTACCTCATTTACTCGTTTGTTGGAGAAGTCTCCACGAGTGCCAAACTGTTTTGAGTTGGCTGCCATGTTTGAGATCAATTGGCGTGCAGCCTCAGGTGTCTTATCCACCAATACGCCTCCACTTGCAGCATCAATGATACTACGGTCAGTAGGCATTAATCCTTCATAGAAATATTGAATGAGCAACTGATCGGGTATTTGATGATGAGGACATTGAATGCACAGTTGCTCAAATCTTTCCCAATACTCGGAGAGTGTCTCTCCATGAGATTGCCGAATCCCACATATTTCTTTCCTTATGTTGGCAACTCGAGATGCTGGGAAATACTTCTCAAGGAAAATCTTCTTCATGGCATTCCAAGTTCCAATAGATCCTGGGAGAATAGAGAAAAGCCATGCCTTTGCTACCCCTTTTAAAGAGAAAGGGAAAGCTTTCAACTTAACCTGTTCTTCATCAACTCCATTCGGTTTCATGCCAACGCAAACCATATGGAACTCCTTGAGATGAGTATGTGGATCTTCTCCTACAAGACCATTAAATGTTGGTAACAAATGTATAAAACCATATTTGAGCTCAAAGTTTACATTATTGTCAATGTTTATGCATAGTGGCTGATTTTCCACATTAGGAGCAGCAAGCTCCTTGAGTGTTTGTTGTCGTGCAATAGCCATGGTGTTGAGGCGAGCTTCCTTTCTTAACCTACGTAAAGTGCTTTCTATTTCAAAATCAACCTGCACTTGAATTTGATTAGTAGAACAGGTCACAGGCATCAATTGCTAAGAAAATTCAAAAGAAAGAAACCACACAAGAGACGAAAAATAATACAAATTATATGAAAATCCAACGCTAGGAAACTAAAATTGCCTAAAAACCTTAGATAACAGAGGAATTTGGCCTCGAAATGGTAAGGTTAGTGGTTTCCACTAGTCTTGTTCAAAACATCATTTCCCTTCAGGAAACAAAAGGTCGAACCCTAATTCCACAAACAAATCTGTTTTGAACAGTATCGTTGCGGCAAGTGAACAGTACCGCCGCAAACAAATTTTTTTTTTTTTGTTTTTTTTTCTGAATAATAATAAATAATAATCACAACAAATAAAAATAACAGTACAAGCACAAGAATTAACTAGTATTCTAAATATTAAATTTTTGTGTACTATACAATATGAACTATGAAAGTGCCAAGCATTTGTTGTACCAAGTGTTATACAATATAAATCAAGATTAGTCATTTAACAAGCAAAGTATTAAAGAGTGAACAAGATAACAAATACAAAACATGTTAGTATCAAATATTAAAGTCCATATTAAGTTTACATTATACTTATTCTTACACCATTAGTGTAAACGTTTCATCATGACATAATAAACTTAGCTACACTTAATAAAAGAAAGAAAAATAAATAAAGAAAATAAGGACATAAATAAGATAAAAGTTAACTAAGTAAATGAAAGGAAATCATAAACATTACAAAAAATACAAAGAGAGAAAGCAAGAGCATGATCTTGATCTGGAAACCAAGATGCCTAAATGAATGGCAAATGCCTCCTTTTATAGGCCAAAATCTTTAAGGATCACTCCATCTTGATCTTAATTTTTCAAGAAATAAATGCAGTCGAGAATTATAAAGCAAGACTTTTTAACTAACATTGAATGTTTTTCTTAGTATTTTCTTGTCATGAAACTCTTTGATTCTTGCTTTATGAATTCTTGAATTTTCATATGCATCATTTCTTATTTCCTCAAGCTCATTTATTTGTAATTTTCACAGTTGACTAGCATCATCCAGATTTGAATTGAAAGCTTTAATAGCCCAATAAGCTTTATGTTCAAGTTCCGCATGCAAGTAACAAGGTTTTCCATAGACTAGTCTATAAGGTGACATACCTAATGATGTTTTATAAGCAATTCGATAAGCCCAAAGTGCATCATTAAGTCTTAAAGACCAGTCTTTCCTATTAGCGTTCATTGTTTTCTCCAAAATATGTTTGATCTCCCTATTAGCAAGCTCTACTTGTCCACTTGTTTGAGGGTGATAAGGGGTGGCAACTTTGTGTGTGATTCCATATTTCTTCATTAAAAACTCAAATGGCTTGTTGCAGAAATGTGTTCCACCATCACTTATTATGGCTTGAGGGACTCCAAATCGACTCAAAATATTTTCTTTCAAAAACTTTATCACTATTTTGTGATCATTGTTTCGACTTGGAATTGCCTCTATCCATTTTGAAACATAATCTACTACGACTAATATGTATAAGAAACCAAATGATGGAGGGAATGAACCCATGAAATCTATACCCCAACAATCAAAGATCCCAATGACAAGAATAGGATTTAAAGGCATCATGTGACGTTTTGAAATAGATCCTAACTTTTGACAATTCTCATAAGTCTTGCAAAATGCATGTGAGTTCTTGAACATGGTGGGCCAGTAAAATTCACTTTGTAAAATTTTTGCAGTTGTCTTTCTTGATTGGTGTGATGTCAGTTTTCGAATCTGTTGTCAATCTTGATAAGTGATCTGCAACAACATTTTCGCTGCCTTTCTTATATTTGATTGTGATATCAAATTCTTGAAGTAACAAAATCCACCGCACCAATCTAGCTTTAGAATCTTTCTTAGAAAGAAGATATTTCAATGCTGCATGATCACTAAAAACAACAACAGGTGAGCCAACAAGATAAGACCTGAATTTTTCACAAGCAAATACTACTGCAAGTAATTCTTTTTCAGTGGTGGTATAATTCATTTAAGCACTATTTAAAGTTTTACTTGCATAGTAAATTACATAAGGTTTCTTATCTTTTCTTTGTCCCAAAACAACACCTACGGCATAATCACTAGCATCATACATTATTTCAAAAGATAATGACCAATCGGGAGGTTGAATGATAGGAGCACAAGTAAGCAAGTTTTTAAGTTTAACAAAGGCTTATTCACAATGTTCAGTCCATTGAAAAATAGTATCCTTTGTTAGAAGGTTACTTAAAGGCTTAGAAATTACACTAAAATCTTTGATGAACCTTCTATAAAAACCAGCATGTCCTAGGAAAGATCTAACATCTTTAATAGATTTTGATGTTGGCAAGCTTGCAATTAACTCGATTTTAGATTTGTCAACCTCAATTCCTTTTGATGAAATAATGTGACCAAGTATAATGCCGTTTGTTACCATAAAGTGATATTTTTCCCAATTCAGCACAAGATTCTTCTCTTCATACCTCGTCAAAACCTTTTCTAAGTTAGTCAAACAATCATCAAATGAATCGCCAAAAATAGAAAAATCGTTTATGAAAATCTCAAGAAAATGTTCAATCATATCACTAAATATACTAAACATGCATCTTCGAAATATGACTGGTGCATTACATAATCCAAAAGGCATCCTTCGATATGCAAAAGTACCAAATGGACATGTGAAAGTAGTCTTCTCTTGATCTTCCAATGCAATTTCAATTTGGTTGTAACCCGAATAGCCATCTAGGAAACAGTAAAATTCATGACCTGCAACTCTTTCTAGTATTTGATCCATGAAAGGTAAAGGAAAATGATCTTTTCTAGTCATTGAATTAAGTTTCCTATAGCCAATGCACATGTGCCAACCAGTAACAGTTCTAGTGGGAATTAACTCATTGTTCTCATTTGTTATCACAGTGACTCCAGACTTCTTGGGTATAACTTGGGTAGGACTTACCCATTTGCTGTCAGAAATAGGATAAATGATTTCATTATCTAGAAGCTTAATGACTTTATTTTTCACTACTTCTTTCATATTAGGATTTAGCCTTCGTTGCATTTCCCTAGAGGGTTTAGCATTTTCCTCCAAATAAATTATGTGTGTACAAATCAAAGGACTAATTCCTTTTATATCAACTATGGTCCATCCTAATGCATTTTTGTGTATTTTCAGAGTTTGTAATAACTTACCTTCTTGATGTGCATTGAGTTTGGAAGAGATTATTACCGGAAATGTTTCATTTTCTCCCAAAAATGAGTATTTGAGATTGGATGGCAACGGCTTCAAATCAGGTTTGGGTGGTTGAACACTTGAAGGTATGGACTTAATTGATCGTGGTGGCAATTCCTCAATTTGTGTCCTCCAATTACTTGTCTTTGATTCTTCCTAAAAATAAATCATTTGTAAATCATCATATTCATCAATCTCAATTTCACTGGAAATTGATCATGAATTAATTTTTTAGTAAAGTCCACTTCCTGTAAATCATTATCATCTCCAGGTTGCTTGCAAATGTTGAAAATATAAAGTAGACCTAAATCTGAGATCTATAGCTCCAGATATGACCCAATTACCGAACAGTGTTTCGATTTGGATTGCACTGGTATCTCTTTTCTAAGTTTGGTCATCTCTTTGTCCTTTCAATTTCAGTTCTTAAATTCATCAATCAATCCTTTCATTTATGTGATAGGCCCGCATTTAAAATGAACATTTACCATAAATTAAAGGTATCTTATATTATTAGATATATTGTTATAAAACATGCTTTAGTTAAGGAGTTATTGATACTTCAAGTGGAAAATGATGACATAAAACCTTGATAAAAATGCACTTTTAAGTACTAATCACTCTGTCATCCTAGCAACAACAGTTTTGCAAATGGTTTATAAAATATAAAACACAGTTAGTTAATTGTTTTTTTAATATCAACTTCTAGCTTTTCTCCCTAACCAAAATAAGACATTATCCTCAATGTCCTAAGGTAGAAAGATAGAGTATAAAAGATATCACCTGAAACACCAAACACTAACAATCTTGAAACACACTTAAACAAATATAAGAAACAACAAAATATAAAATAATATACTATTAAGAAAACCAAAAGACACAAGAATTCACAAACAAAGGCTCAAATCCAATCTAAGCTCTTTTTACGGCTTTTCTTAGTTGACCAATTTACACGACTCATCGAGGGATCAATTACAGGAGTGAAAGATTATAGTTGGTCAATCAATTATTCAGCAGTAGCAGAGAAGATTATGATTTGTCATGCTAAAGATGTTAGAAATTCCTGTTCCATAGCATGATTAAGAAAAGACGACAATTTATCATAAAAATCATTAACATTTAACAGACCTATGGTTTTATGGTGAATGGTGAATGTGCAATTGAGCCCAAGACAAAATGTGAAAGATCTCTTCTAATGTACCCAGTCCAGCTGGTAAGGCAATGAAGGCATCAGCGTGTTTAAACATTGCATTCATTCGATCAGACATTGTGGAGACCTATAGTTCCTCTCCAATTATTTTTCCAATGATGTTCCTTTGTGCTAAAGCTTTAGGGACAACTCCCATAACTTGAATACCTCCTAAAAATGCAATTATTGACACTCCTTCTATTAACCCAAAGCTACCTCCCCCATACACTAAATGAATCTTTCTCTTAGCTAGTACCTAACCAAGATGATTTGTTAATTCTAAAAACTCTATTTCCTTCCCAGGACTGAATCCACCGAAAACACAAATGTTTCATATGTGATGACTTGAGGAACCTATCATTTCTACACATTTCTATATCTGTTGAATGTATGGGTTGAGTATAAATGAAGGCAGGGAAGAGAAGATTTTATAGATGAGAACTTGAAAATGCAATCATACCACCTATATATAGGCCAACTGAAGTCTCACTCTCTCTCTTTATATAGAAGTGTATATATATATTTGAAAAAAAATAACATATGTATGTATAGGTAGTTGTGATTCTAGCTCACACCTTCCCTTGATTTTACATGCAGGAACTGTTTAAACACCCTTTATGGGTTGAGAATAGGCTTCCCATCCAGTTTTCTCAAAAACTGGCAAATATGGTCCTTTTCAGTTAGATTCCTAAGACTATATTGAGCATGTTCTTTATGGAATAGTGGCTATAAATCATGAATTGCACGATGCACATCTTCACTAGAATGCATCTCAAGAGTCAATAGAAGATTATCTAAAGCCCCCTTACTCAAGCCACCCTTAATTAATTGTATTTTATCTTCACAGTTTACAGATACCATTCTTAAGGAATGACATGTTGCATTACAAGTCCATCTGGGACTTTTACCTATTCCAGGCATGTATGAAATGAAACAATTAGAGGACTCACCTGATAATCGGACCTTTGCTTCAATCAACCAATGAATATCTTCAGGAATTCCATGATTCATTAACAACCTCAATTTTACACAATGGTAAATTTTTATAATCGCATTCTGAGGCAGAACGGGAAAATACTTTTTAAATTTTTCAAGAATGGTATCCGTTTTCAAATGAAAATTGGAGGAGAGAGTCAAAGAAAGGGGAAAGAGCAAACAATTGTACAAATATATACACAGATATCAGTTATTATCAGAAACTAAAAGAACCGACTTATGTCACGAAGTACCATTATCCGTCATTTGACCAAGGTAAGAGAGATTAGCAAAACAAAAGTTTCACCAAAATGAAACACAAACCAATGTGAGAAAAAAAAAATCAATCTTTATATACAAGATCACTCAATTCAATAGAGTCATTTTCAACTGAAAAATTATCAAAGTAAACTTTCAAACTATGTCCACTTACCTTGAAAACATTGTCATTCTTTAGATTCTTGATATCACAAGACCCATATGGATACACATGTTTCACAATAAAAGGTCCACTCCATCTTGATCTTAGTTTTTCAGGAAATAAAGAGAGTCTAGAATTATAAAGTAAGACATTTTTACCAACATTAAATGTTTTTCTCAGTATTTTCTTGTCATAAAACTCTTTAATTCTTGCTTTATGAATTCTTGAATTTTTATATGCATCATTTCTTATTTCCTCAAACTCATTTATTTGTAATTTTTGCAGTTGACTAGCATGATCAAGGTTTGAATTAAAAGCTTTAATAGCCCAATAAGCTTTATGTTTAAGTTCAACAGGCAATTGACAAGGTTTTTCATAGACTAGTCTATAAAGTGATATAACTAATGATATTTTATAAGCAGTTCGATAAGCGCAAAGTGCATCATTAAGTCTTAAAGACAAGTCTTTCCTATTAGGGTTCACTGTTTTCTCCAACATCTGTTTGATCTCCCTATTAGCAAGCTCTACTTGTCCACTTATCTGAAGGTAATTCATTAGTACTTGAACTAAAATTGAAAGGATAAAGAGATGACTAAACTTAAAAAAGAGATGCTGGTGCAGTCCAAACCGGAACACTGTTTGGTAATTAGGTTATATCTAGAGCTGTGATCTCGGATTTAGGTTTACTTTATATGGATGGAAAGGTAAGACATAGGCCTACAACTTTTATGAGCCCAAGATTTAAAAAGGTCATTTTCAGGTCCAAATTATAGCAGCAACAAAGAAGTTTGAATCTGTCTTGCAGCCCGAACACTGTTTAGTATTTGACCCATATATGGAGTTCTAGATATCCAAATGACCTCTATTTTTTGTCATGGAATACTGAGATAATTTCCTATAACTTTCATGTTTTCAAGTGGTTTCAATTATGATGTTATTAGTGACATTTTGGGTAGATAAGAGAAGATAAAGATTGTCACAAAGTCAAGAGTTGGCCACCCACTCATCAATTAGTCATCAAATCAATAGTTCCTAATTTTAGCCTATAAAAGGAGGCATTTGCCATGCATTTAAGCATCTTGGTGTCCATATCAAGATCATTCTCTTACTTTCTTTCTTTGTATTTTTGTAATGCTTAAGTTTTGCTTTCATTAATATCTTGTTCATGCCTGTTATTTTATTTCCATTACTTAGTTAAATTTTATCTTATTTATGTTTTTATTTTGTTTATTTATGTTTCTTTTTGTTTATTTATGTTTCTTTCTTTCATTATGTTCAACTAAGTTTATTATGTCAAGGTGAAAAGGTTACACTAATGGTGTAAGCATAAGTATAATATAAACTCAACATGGACCTTAATGTTTGATACTAACATATTTTGTATTTGTTATCTTGTTCACTCTTTAATACTTTTCTTGTTAAATGACTAATCTAGATTTATGTTGTATAACATTTGGTACAACAAATACTTAGCAGTTTCATAGCTCAATCGTATGGTATAACCTATACCTGTGCTATGAAAGGAACTTGATTTGTTGTTAAGATAAGTTATAATCATGAATACCTAATGAGATTTACAAGTATTAGCATTAATCGAATAAGGTAACTAATGTAATCATGTTAATAATTTGTAATCTAATTGGAACCTCCTTTGTGTGTGGTTTTCAATTGAATAATAAGAATTTATATTATACTTGTAACAACCAAGCTTTTCAAGCCCCAAAACAATAGAATTTTTTTTTCTTGACACATATCATGTCGATAATTTGCAAACCTGTTTCCTCACATCATCAAAATGCAATCCATACATCAACAACATTCAACATTTCATTTAAAAGGGAATTTTACATCAACACATAATATTATCTTTGCATACTTAGAAGTTTATATTATAATATACATACATAGACATGAGTTTGCATTTCTATCCTACTAATAATCACCATGAATTTAAACAAAAGAGTTCAATAAAAGTTATACATTTAATACATTGATCCATACAAAATACATCGTGATTCAGGATGCAACTACATAATTCCTTGGAAAAGTAGGTTCCCGTGTATCGGGTTTCCTAGGCATCTCGTTGATGTGATGTCCCTGTTGTAGTGCAAAACATTTAAGAG